AAGCTTCCAGTGCTAAATGGGAGCCAAGCAATTGAGAATTGCACAGCCTCTTTTGAAGGGACGTCCTTCTTTTCAGTCCTCATTGACTGCCTTCCCCTTGCTAGGCCCTCTGGTGTCCTCCAGGAGCTCAGGTTCACTCAAAGTCCCTGCCATCCGAGCTTTTGCTTCTTTTCTTTACATCGACTTCTGTGTAGGTTTATTTCTAATAACTGCATGATCCAACAGGCAGTCCTGACTGTTCACAGTGGTTCCCAAATCCCAGGGGGGATCGCTACAAATACAGATTTCAGGGTCCAGCCTCCAAGCCAATCAGTGGCACAGGAATCTGTGTTTTTAGTCTGCTCCCTAGGTGGCTCTGGTATAGCCAGCCCAGCTCCAGGCCCCGGGTTGGGATGGCAATCGGAAACCACAGCAAAACCATCTGCAAATGAGTATGCTGTGCTCTTCCTCAGCAGCTCCTGAGAGTTAGGACCCAGCCTGATTGAGGCTGCAGGACTCACCCGGTCTGTTCTCCTTTTCAGGGCTGATAGGCAACCTCTGAGGGCTTCCGCTCTGTCATCCTTCAGCCCACATGACATGGGGAGTGTCAGTGACTTTCCTGATTACCCAGGGATGCAAAGGCTGGCTCGGAGGTACAAGATGGGGTGAACTGATTACCTGCCTCGTGAAAAGCTTAATTGCACATCGTTTTCTAATTTGTCATTTCCAAATGAAGCACAGGCTGCTAGGTGAGCTTAGCTACACTCATTCCAAGGTCAGACTCCTGCCTTCATTCCCTGAGTGACTCACAGTTACACCCCACCCCCATGCTGATGATGAGGGGGTGGCCCCCATCTCAGTGACTCCCAAACTCCAGGTTGCAAATTAATCACCTGGGAGCTTGTTAAAATTCAAATTCCTGGGTCCCTGCTTGGGTTTCTGTTTCAGTAGGTCCAGGGTGGGGTCCAGGAACCCCCTCGTTTAATGAGCTCCCAGGTGAGTTCATTTATGCAGCTTGTTCTGCTTCAGCCAAAATGTCTTTCCTGAAGTCTGGTCTCCTTAAGGGTATTAGCTTCCCTGAAGGAATTCCTCTGGAGTAACAATGAATCAGCTTTTTCCTTAGCTCCTTTTACAAATAAATCCTGAGTTTCAGAAGTCCAGCCATGCAATTCAGCGGAGGAAAGTGACTCATGGCGGGGGCCATCTGGCCAGCCACACTTCCACTGGGAACACTGGGATATGGTGAGTGACGGGGGGAACTCCCAAGCCAGTGGGCTGTTCCCTCAAAGGGAAGGAGGGCACAGATGAGGGCAGAAAAGGCCTCTGTACACAGAACTGGATGGAATGTTCCCCTACCAGGGTTAATTTGTGCAGTTTCTTTTTGTAAGGGTAATCGCCAAATTAAATGTTTTAATGACTGAAATTACGTATGCATTTCTTTTGAGAAAAGAGCATATCGGAACACAGTATCCACTCCCCAGAGGGGCAAATGCTTTGCTTCCCGGGAAGTGGGTGTCTGGAGGAGTCCATTTTAATTGCATTATAAAACCGGCTTGAGAAATCAGGGTCTGGGACTGACACGTATTCCCAGCCAGCTGTGACTTAATGAGCACAATTCAAAGCTTGGAACCTGATAGGCACATCCATATTAATATGTCTGTGGGAAAAAAACAACATCAGAGAAAGTGACAAACTGCTATCCTAGTATTTGAAATGCATTTTAAATGATTGTTAAATGGCTAACAGGGCGAGCATCACTTCAAGGCAGCCCAGCTGTCTGGCCTCTCCTCCCGTCAATAACACCCCTGGTAGGAAGAAGCTGTTTCGTACAGATCAGCAAGTCCTGAGTCCCAGGGGCCAGGTCAGCAGGTTTGGTATCAGAGGTGCAGCTGTGTTCTGAACCGGATCCACCTCCCAAACCCTGGAACCTGGAAGGGCCTCTCCCCTCCTTTTATCTTGAATTGTTTGTTGCATAACCATCAGAGTCATTATGATCATAATAGTCTTTGTGATTCTGATTTTCCCAGGCAGAAGTAAATGAAAGTAAGAAAAATGTCTTGTTTGAACATTTTGAGATGCTAAAAATAAAAGGTGCTGGGTAAGCCTGTGGTGTTAATAAGTACAAGGCGAGAGGGTGGGTGTGGGTGGCAAAGACAAAGGAAATGCAGCCAGAGACAAACCAAGGGCTGTGTGTTTTGACATTCAAGGAGAACAAGCCACCTGCTACCGCTGGGAAGGCCCCTGGGCAGTGGAGCTGGTGCCATAGTATGTGTGGGTGGGGGTAAGGCTCCTTTCGGTTCTGGAGAGCAGGGCATGCAGACCCTCAAGGTGAAGGTCTTTGCATCCCCCTAAACTTGTACTCTGCAAGTGTTTGTTGCCGTTGTGTGCTGGGCGGTAGTCCTGACTCAGAGCCTGGACTCTGAAATCCCACAGATCCTGCCTCCTCCACTTCGTTTAGAAGAGTTTCAATTGGGCCATGGGCCTTGATTTTTTCATCTGGAAATGGAATTAAAATACCAATTTCATTGGGCATTTTCTGGGAATTAAATGAGAATGTTTAAGTACATACTTTGTCTCAGGATCGGGCACAGAGTAAGCCCTCAGTGGTTCTTGCCCCATCTCTGACACACAGCTCAGTAGCATGGAGTTTCCAGGTTATTCCCCAAATAAAACCATCTTTTCATGCATGTTGTGCACTCATCCTCTGAGACTAATTGAGCACGTAAATCAAAGAGGGGGATCATTTTGCTTTGAGCTGCACAAACGCTCTTATTCATTTTCTCTTAAAGTGGTGTAGGTGGTGGGGGGATGGAGGCAGCAAACCACCGTGGCACGTGTGTACCTTTGCAACAATCCTACAAGATCTGCACATGTACCCCAAAACTTAAAAAAAACCTGGTATTGTTCAGACTATGTTCCCTGCAATCTGAGAATTCCTTGGAGAATTCTGTAAACATTTGCTTTCAATTTACATTTCTTTTGTATATTTTGCCAGCTCTAAATGGCAAACCTTTATCAAATTTGGTTGTAATATTTTGTAATTTGGTCTTTGGTTCTCTGGAGTGGCCATAAGCCAAGCTAACCACTCTGTAAGACAGTGCTAGTGTAGGAGATGGGGGTGGGAGTTGGGGGGGCGATGGTGAAGTTAGGTTCAGGTGTGTGCATCAGGCAGGCCACAATGGGGAAATGAAATCAAAATTTATGATACATATTACTTATAGGTCCCAGAAAGGTTGAGGTGCCAACAGGAGGCCAACAGGAAGTCTGTAGGTGGTGGGGCGCGCAGCCATCAGGTGGAGGGAGGGTTTTGAGACTCAGTCTTTTTTGAGTGGCTTTTGAGACCAAAAAACACACAGCTCTATCACCCAGCCTGAAGTGCAGTGTCGCGATCATGGCTCACTGCAGCCTCAACCTCTCAGGCTCAAGTGATCCTCCTGCCTCTTCCTCCAGAGTACCTGGGAACTACATGTGCATGCCACCACACCCCAACTGATTTTTAAATTACTTGTAGAGATGGAGGGTCTCACTATGCAGCCCAGGCTGGTCTCAAACTCCTGGCCTCAGGGGATACTCCTGCCTCCCAATGTGCTGGGATTACAGGCAGGAGCCCCTGTGCCTGGCTGAACTGTCTTTATTAAGGTTCATGGGCCTTATCCCTTAGGCTTTTCTATAAGGATCGTGGATTGGCTTGTTTAAAGAAAAAATAAGAAATGGGAGGAACCTATTTACATGACTCTGACATTGACCATTAGGTTTATTAGGGCCAGCAGCTCTGGGCTGTGTTGAGCTTTGTGTCAATGGGATAGAACAATGGGGCTATAGCACAGTCACACCTGAAGGGGAGGATGTAACTAGGCCAAAGGTCATGGGTTTGACTCAGTTTCAGATAATTTTGTCAGGCCTAAAACTAGACACCTTGTTAGGAACTACATTAGGCAAATCTGTGATGTTATTTACAAGAATAGCTCATTTAATCTTCATAATTATCCTATAAAGTAGGTGCTATTTTTATCCTCCTTTTACAGATGAGGAAACTAAGGCACAGAGAATTAAGCAGGTTTTCTAAGTCCATGAAGCTAGAAAATGGCAGAGCTGAGGTTCGAACCCAAGGAATCTTGTCTCCAGAGGCTTTCTTGGTCACTATTTTACATGTTTTCTCTAAAAACTGTAACAAACACTTGCAAACCCAAACATGCACATTCAGATGTTCCATATCAGATTGTGACTTGGTGGAGACTATCACAGCACAAACTAGAGGAAAAAAACCCTTATTCACCCGTTCATTCAATGAACAAGTGCTTATTGAGTATGTATTCTATGCTTCCATGACCTTCCTATAACTACGCGGGTAAGAAACATCATAGCTCTACCTTCATTTCTTTTTTGTTTTGTTGGAGATGGAGTTTCACTCTTGTTGTCCAGGCTGGAGTACAGTGGCACAATCTTGGCTCACTGCAACCTCCGCCTCCTGGGTTCAAGCAATTCTCCTGCCTCAGCCTCCCAAGTAGGTGGGATTATAGGCATGCAATAGCACGCCGGGCTAATTTTGTATTTTCAGTAGAGACAGGGTTTCACCATGTTGATCAGGTTGATCTCGAACTCCTGACCTCAAGTAATCCACCCGCCTCAGCCTCCCGAAGTACTAGGATTACAAACATAAGCCACCGTGCCCAACATCTACCCTTATTTCTTAAAAATATTCAGATCTTGGCTGGGCTCACTGGCTCACGCTGTAATCCCAGCACTTTGGGAGGCCGAGCCGGGTGGAGCATCTAAGGTCAGGAGTTAGAGACCAGCCAGGCCAACATGGTGAAACCCCGTCTCTACTAAAAATACAAAAAATAGCCAGGTGTGGTGGCACACGCCTGTAATCCCAGCTACTAGGGGATGCCGAGGCAGGAGAATTGCTTGAACTTGGGAGGCAGAGGTTGCAGTAATCCAAGGTCGCGCCACTGCACTCCAGCCTGGGCAAGCAAGGAGACAGAGCGAGACTCCATCTCAAAAAAAGAAATTTAGATCTGGTTCTCACTTTGGCAGCACACATCCTAAAGTTGAAATGATACACAGATTAGCATGGCCGTGGCCCAAGGATGACATGAAAATTCATGAAATGTTCCATATAAAAAAGAAGTGGGAAAAAAATTCAGGTCTGTACTTATCCATTCACTTAAAATCAAACCCAGCATAATAGTGAGCTGTGCAGTAACTGGCAAGTGAGGGCACCGGGTGGTAAATAGAACATATTCATCATTTGAATGTTGATTATGATTTGGATGCTACTCAATGGACTTGTATTCATGACAAGATATGTTGGCAGTAGATTCCATTTTTAAACAAAAATCTATTGCTTTTTCAAACATTTAGATTAGTTTAATTGAAGGATATCCTGAGAGTACCAGCAAGTTAAAGGCTGTGACCATTTGCAGTCACGCATAGGTGGGAATCAGAATTGTACTGATTCCATGCAACAGAACCATCAGACAGGAGGAAACACTTGATTCTGAGGCCTAACTAAACCTAATTTAAGTTTTTTATTTTTAGGCCAGGCTCAGTGGCTCATGCCTCAATTCCCAGCACTTTGGAGGCTGAGGCAGGAGGATTGCTTGAGTTCAGGAGTTTGAGACCAGCCTGAGACCTTGTCTCTACAAAAATTTTTAAAATTAACCAAGCATGCTGGTGCGTGCTTGTAGTCCCAGCTACTCAGGAGGCTGAGGAGGGAGGATTGCTTGAGCCTGGGAGGTAGAGGTTACAGTGAGCTGTGATTGTGCCACTGCATTCCAGCCTGGAAGACAGAGTGAGACCTTGTCTCAAAAAATGGTGGCCGGGCGCGGTGGCTCAAGCCTGTAATCCCAGCACTTTGGGAGGCCGAGGCGGGTGGATCACGAGGTCAAGAGATGGAGACCATCCTGGTCAACATGGTGAAACCCCGTCTCTACTAAAACTACAAAAAATTAGCTGGGCATGGTGGCACGTGCCTGTAATCCCAGCTACTCAGGAGGCTGAGGCAGGAGAATTGCCTGAACCCAGGAGGCGGAGGTTGCGGTGAGCCGAGATCGCGCCATTGCACTCCAGCCTGGGTAACAAGAGCGAAACTCCGTCTCAAAAAAAAAAAAAAAAAAAAAATGGTAACAATAATAATAATTATTTTCATTGGGAGAGGGTAACATTTTGATTGTGGTTCAAAATTGCTGTTCCCTATTATCAAAATCTATTGCAAATGTTCATCTGTTAATACTAATGCGTAATGAAATTTTACGTATTTCAACTGTGAAAATGTCTTTTTAGACAGATCAGTACTACCAAATACTGATAGCAATTTATGAGCATATAATTTTGATTAAGCATATTTATTGCTTAGAAGGCATTTATGGAATCTCCTCTGATTGTTCTTCTGTATCCTTTGTAACAAACTGATAAGCGTAAGTGTTTTCCTGAGTTCTATGAGCCATTCTAACAAATGATCGAACCCAAGGAGGGGCTTATGGAAACCTCTGATTTATATGTAGTTGGGGAGAAGTGTAGGAGGCCTGTCCTTGCGCCTGAGACCTGAAGGGGGGGCCCATCTTGCAGGACTGAACCCTGAACTTGTGGGTTCTGATGCTAACTCCAGGTAGATGGTGTCAGAATTTATTTAAATTTAGGACAAGCTGGTGTCCACTGGAGAATGGATGTGTGGGAGGAAAAAAACGCACACATTTGGTATCAGAAGTGAAATACAGACTGAGTGTGGGTATGGAGAGAGAAAACTTTGGCTTTTCCTATTATTCAGCTTGTAAGTGGTGAAGCTGGATTGCAACACAGAATGACTGGCCCCAAGTCTATGCTCATATATTATTTTTTATATTTGTGTCATAGTCTGTGAAGTGATTTTATTTTTTTTAGATGGAGTCTCACTCTGTCATGCAAGCTGGAATACAGTGGTGTGATACTGACTCATTCTAACTTCCCCCTCCTGGGTTCAAGCAATTCTCCTGCCTCAGCCTCCTGAGTAGCTGGAATAATAGGCACGCACCACCACACCTGGCTAAGTTTTTTGTATTTTTAGTAGAGATGGGGGTTCGCCATGTTGGTGAACTCCTGAACTCAAGTGATCCGTCCACCTCAGCCTCCCAAAATACTGGGATTACAGTTGTGAGACACCATTCCTGGCCTGATTTTATCTTATTATTTTATTTTATTTTATTTTGTTTTAAGATGAAATCTTGCTCTGCTGCCCAGGCTGGAGTGCAGCGGTGTGATCTCAGCTCACTGCAACCTCTGCCTCCTGGGTTCAAGTGATTCTCCTGCCTCAGCCACCCAAGTAGCTGGGACTACAGACATGTACCACCATGCCTGGCTAATTTTTATATTTTTAGTAAAGACAGAGTTTCACCATGTTGGCCAGGTTGGTCTTGAACTCCCAACCTCTGGTGATCTGCCTGCCTTGGCCTCCCAAAGTGCTGGGATTACAGACATGAGCCACTGCTCCCCGCCAGCCACTATGCCTGGCCTGATTTTATTTTTAAAACCACGTTTCCTCCATTTAATTCATTCTGAACATCATAAAGATGATTCTTGAAATAATGCTCTAGCTTCGTTTAGACATGTTAAGTCAGGGCATGTCTGCTAGGGTTCAGGCAAACATTATCCTTAAAAAAGCAATTTATCATATTTATAGCATCTAGAAGATGAATTTGAACAAAGCAGAGTTGGCTGGAAGCAGTGATTCACGCCTGTAATCTCAGCACTTGGGGAGGCCAAGGCAGGTGGATCACAAGGTCGAGAGATCGAGACCATCCTAGCCAACAAGGCGAAACCCCATCTCGCCATGAAATGCAAAAATTAGCTGGGCGTGGTGACATGCGTCTGTAGTCCCAGCTACTCAGGAGGCTGAGGCAGGAGAATCACTTGAACTGGGAGCCAGAGGTTGCAGTGAGCTGAGATCACATCACTGCACTCAAGCTTAGCGAGTGAGACTCTATCTGGAAAAAAAAAAAAAAAAGCAGAGTTACTCTTCCCTGCTTTGAAACCGTAATGGAAGATCACAAGGTCAGGAAATACGATGATTCATGTTGATACCTTTGTTTGTAAAGATTTTTTAGGGGAAAAAAATCACATTCCATTTTTTCAGGTTTAGTATAAATGGTTACTTGATAACAAAAGTTATAGCTCTGGTTAAGAAGATAAGAATTAGAGGTTAAAAAGAAACTATAAAATAGACTAAATTCCATTTATAGAGCCTTATTAAATTGGCATGATTCTAAAACACATAAGCAAAGATTAATAGTTTGACAATGTAAAAATTTTAAACTCCTTTGTATCAAAACAACAGAAGCCATATATAAAAAATAACAAACCAACTGAAATATTTGCGGAAACAAACCAATATTTAATTTACTTATAAAACACTCCACAAACGAATCAGAATAAATAAACTCCCTGATGGGCAAAAGCAATTCACAAAAGAAAATTAAACATATAAAAAGTACTTGACCTCACAAGTACTAAAAGGAATGAAAAATGAAACAATAACAAAATATTCTAGAGGAGGTAATATCCCTGGGACACTGCACCATCCCTGGCTGGTTTCCCTAAACCCAGCCTACACCTTTGTACCTTTCTTTTATTAGATATTCCTCAATTGCCCAGGCTGAGTGTGCCACCTGTTTCCTGTCCAGCCCTGACTGGTGCTGGCAGGATGTATGAAATCAGAATCTAAATTCTATGTATAAGAAAGTTAATTAACAGCATTAGCTATAATAGCAAAAACTCAAAACAGCAACACATAACCAAAATAAGAGACTGGTTAAGCAAATTATGGTACCTCCATATAGAATATAAAAATATAGATGGGTGAAGTGGTGTGTGTCTGGAGGCTGAGGCAGGAGGATCACTTGAACTCAGGAGTTCAAGGCTAGTCTGAGCAACATGGTGAGACCCCCGCCTCAAAAACAAACAAAATAATATAAAAATATATTAACAATCATCTCGTTAATATCGAAACGATGAAACATACCCAGTATATGCCTAAATCAAAAACACACAAAAATCAGCTGGGCGCAGTGGCTCACACCTGTAATCCCAGCACTTTGGGATGCTGAGGCAGGCGAATTGCCTGAGGCCAGCAGTTCGAGACCAGCCTGGCCAACATGGTGAAACCCTGTCTCTACTAAAAATACAAAAGTTAGCCAGGCATGGTGGTGGGCGCCTGTAATCCCAGCTACTTGGGAGGCTGAGGCAGGAGAATCTCTTGAACTTGGGAGACAGAGGTTGCAGTGAGCCGAGATCGTGCCACTGCACTCCAGCCTGGGTGACAAAATGAGGCTTCATCTCAAAAAAAAAAAAGAAAAACCCACAAAATTATATATATAATAATGTCCTATTTAAAATATTTAATGGAAAAACCACTAAATCATATATCATGTTACATTTTAATAGTATATAAATATGTGCTTACATTTACATATCATATAAAACAGTATATGTGTTATGTTTGTTATATATAACATACAAGATTTATAATATACTATGTTACATTGATATATAATATGTATACTATATATAGATTTATTGGTTCATTATATTATGTCACTTTTTATAAAGAATTCTCTACATATCTACCTGTACATGTTTATGTCATGCATCTGTTGTATAAACCACATAATATACATGTTACAAATCACATACACGTATATACATGCATGAAGGTACAGCACTCTCCCACGTGTCATCTAAAGTCACTCAGTCCTCTGGGACTGAAATAAAACCGGTTGTATCGTCCAGTCCACTTTGGTGTAAAGTACAAAGAACAGTGTCCTCCTCAAGTTTATCCAGATTCCCAGGGGTTCACTGCTGCCTCTGGACCATGGGGTTCATTCTCAGACCAACCAGACTTATTTTTTTCCCTTCTCTGCTCCAGCTCAGAGGTGGGATTCAGCCATTTCTCCAAAACCACCTTTGTAAGGAAAATGAGCATGTGGCAGACGTTCCCTTCTTTTTTTCTTTTTTTGTTGCCCTGGCTGGTCTTGAACTCCTGGTCTCAAACAATCCTCCCACTTTGGCCTCCCAAAGTGCTGGGATTATAGGCGTGAGCCTGTACCACGCCCAGCCTAACATTCTCTCAATGTTTAGAGCAGCACAGCGTGG